TCGGTGAAACCATGCTCGTGGAGCTTGTTTTAAGCCATATAGAGCTTTTGACAGCTTGTATACATGAGTTCGGAATTGAGGATCATTGAAGCTGGGAGGTTGTTCCGTAAAGATAGTCTCACTTAAGTTTCCATTTAGGATGGCATTTTTAACATCTATTTGATGCAATTTCCGTCCATTTAACACAACAAGAGATAGGACGATGCGTACGATGGCAGCCTTAACCACCAGACTGAACGTGTGAGAATAGTCTAACCCCGGTATCTGCGTGAAACCTTGGGCCACTAAACGAGCTTTAAATTGCTGAATGGAGCCATCAGAGTTGTATTTGGTACGATATACCCATTTAGAGCCAACAACGTTTGACGACGCGGGGCGAGGGACAAGAGTCCATGTGTTGTTATGTTTCAGAGTGTCCATCTCCTCTTGCATGGCATCCATCCATTTAGGATTTTTGGCAGCCGATTAAACCCACGGGGTTCAATGGTAGCGAAGAGAGCATATTGTAGAGGGTTCGTGGTGAGAAAAACAAGATCCGCAATATGCTTTGGTTTGAAAATGCCAGCCTTTGCTCGAGTGACCATAGGATGTAAAGAGGAAGTGGAGGGGTGGGAGGGGGTAGGATCGATAGCAGTGGCAGTAGGGGCTTCAGTAGTGATTTGTGGTTGCGGATGTGGCGATGGTGCTGATTCGGACAGATGGTCAATTTGTAGAGTGGACGGAGACTGAGTCGGTGTAATGGGTGGTGAGGCGGTGGTCTCCGTGGAGGGAAGTATTAAGTCAAAAGTACTTGTAGATCTGCATAAGGTACATGGAGTGGTAGGCAGAGCGTCGATCCGAGAGGGCGGAGTAGATTTATGTGGAGGTGGAGAAGGCCCCGGAGTGTCTTCAAAGAAGGTTGATAAATCCAAAGTGGACAAATCAGATGAGCTGGAAGATCCAATAAATGGAAATACACTTTCATTGAAGCGAGCATGACGTGTAATATAAATGTGAGAAGTAACTGGACCAAGACACTTATACCCCTTGTATTGAATGTACCCGATGAAGATACACGGAAGGCTTCGTGGAGCAAGTTTATGTGGAGAGAAAACTCGTAGATAGGGAAGACTTGGCAACCATATGCACGAACGTGACTGTATTGTGGTGGTTGGGAGAAAAGCAACTGAAATGGACTAATATTGTCCAATAGTTTCGTGGATAAACGGTTGATGATGAATGTGGCGGAGCTGAAAGCATCTATCCAGTAGGTTGCAGGGATGTTGGCATTAAATAATATGGCGAGACCTGTTTCGACGATGTGTCTATGTTAGCGTTCCGCACGCCCATTTTGTTGAGGCATGTAAGGACATGAGAAATGATGAAGAGTACCATTGTTGTTGAAGATCTTGCGAACCGTATGATTTACAAATTCAGACCCACCATCACATTGAAATACTTTGATTTTTCGTGAACATTGAGTTTGGACGAGGTTGATGAAGGTTGATAGAACCGAGTAAAAACCTGTCTTTGTTTGGAAAGAATAAAACCAAGTAAAACGAGAATAGTCATCCACAAAAATGACATAGTACCGATAACCATCACGAGAACAAACGGGAGAAGGTCCCCACAAGTCACAATGTATTATATCTAGAGGATGCAAAGCACGTTTAGTATTGAGTTCAAAAGGTAATATGTGTCTCTTAGAAAGTTGACAAGACGTGCAAATATGAGGTTTAGGTAAAATCCAAGTTAAAGACAAAACACCCAATTTATTCAAAGCAGAAATCAGAAGAAACATGCCCAAGACGAGTATGCCATAACTCATATGAGGCCCGATTGGAGACACTGTGACTTGCAAGGAGAGCGTGAGGGCCATCTTTAAGCACATAGAGTCCATTCTCACACTTTCCTTTGCCTAAAATCTGTTTGGTTTTTCGGTCCTAAATGGAGAAAAACGGTTGAGAAAATAATACATCAACCGGATTATCCATGGTTAGTTTGCTAACAAATTACAGCTTCTTGGTGAGATTAGGAATAACGAGTACATCACGTAATAAAACATTATTGGAAATCATTGATGTACCGGTGTGAGTAATGGGTAAGGTTTTACCATTAAAGAACATAACATTCAAGTTACCTTGATAGGGAGTGGATTGATGAAGAGTGTCGTAGTCAGGAGACATGTGTGAAGTCGCCCCAGAATCAACATGCCAGTCGGGAGAACCAGTAGTCACATGACATTGAGCATGAAATGATTTAGCTATGTTTTCTGTGGAGGTTGTGGCTTGACTAGCATAGGTAAGCAGAGATGGACACAAGGAGGCATAATGTCCATTTGTGCAACACAATTGACAGTGGGGGGGCGACGGTTGTTCCCACGGCCTCGTCCAGAAGATTTTCGACCGCGAAAGTTCGAGTTACGAGAAGAGCCATTTGAGCGACCACCATTAGAAGAACCGGTGGATCTAGTCTAGTAAGCATTTAAGGCAACTGGTGTGGGAGAGGAGCCGTGCAAGGACCGTAAGAACATCTCGTGACTCTTGGCTTGAGAGAGGAGATCACGAAAGCCAGGAGTGGGCTTAGTTGCACGAATGGCTGTAGAAAATGTTTTGAACGATGCATCGAGGCAGCATAAAAACCAGTGTAGCTTGTCAATGTCGGCAACTGGATGCCCAATGGCTGCCAATTGATCACAAAGAACTTTGAAATTGCGACCAAACTCAGTGATAGAAGACGTACCCTTGGTGATTTGATGAAGGGAATCACGAAGGGAATGAATGCGTTCTACCGAGGAATTGCTGAAAGCAGTTTCGAGGGCAAGCCATATTTGATGAGCTGTAGTGAGGCCAAGAATCTCAGTGGCGGCTTCTTCTGTGAGAGAAGAATGAAGAAGAATGACAACCTTCTGATCGGTTTCTGTCCAAGAAAAGAAGGTGGGATTATCGACAATTTTGTCCTCAACAGTAATGGTGGCGGATGGTAGAGAAGACGTGCCATTAACATGATCAAGAAGCTTCTGATAGGTGAAGAGAGGAAGCATCTGATTTCGCCATATGAGATAGTTGGATGATGATAATTTAATAGGGATCATGTGAAGAAAAGTATTCATGGAGAGAGGAGTTTCTGATGAGGCGGCCTTGGAGGAAACCAGGATCAAGAATAGGGTTTGAGAGAAAATGAGGGGGAGGAATAGATTAGTTGGCTCATACTAGGGTTGTAAACGAACCGAACGTTCAATGAATCATTCGTGAACCGTTTGGAGGGAAGTTCGTTTGTTTAATAAATGAACGGATATGAACAAATTTTTTTGTTCATTTAATTAAACGAGTGAACATGAGCAAGAGTCACGTTCGTTCATTTATGTTCGTGAACGTTCGTTCATTTACTGTTCGTTTACATTCGTTTATATTCGTTCGTTTATATATTAAATTTAATATATAATCTTTTGTTATTTACTTGAATTCAAACAATATTTATTTATATTTGTTTAGCCCGTTTGTTTATGTTCATTTAGCCTGTTCGTTTATGTTCGTTCGTTTACGTTCGTTTAGCATGTTAACGAACGAATATAAACGAACACGAACACACCTGATTTCTAAACGAACGAACATGAACACAAAGATTTTTGTTCGTTTACCTTTCGTGTTCGTTCGTTTGTTCAGTTAAGTTAAACTAACAAACATGAACAAACCTTCGTTTGTGTTCGTTCAGTTCGTTTACAGCCCTAGCTGATACCATATAGAATGTTGTAAAATCAACCACACAAATTGTGGTGAGTACGTTATTAATATATAGAAGAAGATTAAAGTAGACTCTTCTTTAATCAAGGAGGATTTACAAGATAATTACAAGAAAAACAATATCTTCTAAAAATACATTATTCAACTAATAATAATTAACTCTAATATATATAAATGTGTTGTGGTTTAACCGAGATAGTAAAAATAACTCAAATTGAACCGAACGAGTTATCCTTATTCGTTAACTGCACTTTTTTAGTTCGGTTGGATTATTTAGTTTCAAGAAAATTTTGTCACCTTTATGTGTGTTCCTAGTCACCTAAGTTTCTCGATTTGCCACCTATCATCCTCATTGTGTATTGATGATGTAGGATTCATCTAAAATATTAAAATAGAGATTTTACTTGTATTACATTAGAAGATATGATCTTTAGAGGTAATTTTTTATGTTGCATTAATGATCAAAAAAGGTGTTAGAAACCCCTATCGGAATGCGGTTTCAGTATAAAAATCGTTTCAGAAGGAAGGAATATTGCAGGACGTTTTTGTAATTCAATGATTGGAGAAGTACCCGACAACACATCAGGTATTATTAAACACATCTTGTAAATTATAAAGGAATCTCAGTATTATATATATATATATATATATATAATGATATATATATATATATATATATATCATTATAACTGGATAATTTTAAAGTTATACGTTTATGAGAAAAAAATATCGTTACCGAATTTTGATCCAACAAATCAGTCAACAACCTTTGTGTCCAGAATCACATACGTTAACAACCTTCCCTTTATGCAGTGTGTAATATTTGTCATCTTCAACCTCTCTAATCATGGATCCTGACATTCTTATTTTTATTGTATACTACTTGCTCTTTAATGTTGACTTCTACTTCTCTAATCATAGCGCTTCGTTGTTCCAGCTTAGCGTTGACCATTCCTTTTTCTCCACAAATAACATACAAAATAAAACACAGTTTTTTATAATATATTATTATGTCATTGAGTAAATTCCGTTAAAAATTGCGGATTTCGTCCTCGTGGTGTTAAAATTTCCGTTTTCATCCTTACAGTTTGTAATTCATTTCTATTTGAGTCTCTAAGGCCAAAACACTAACTTTTAAGAATAAAGGCTAAAATAGAAATGGAAATAAGCAATAAATTTTAAATCATAAAGACGAAAAAGATAATGAATTATAAACCATAGAAATGAAAGTTATAATTTCAAAATCTTAAGGACGAAAATAGAAATTTTCACCAAACCACGAAAAATGTAATTTGCTTTTAATAATTTAAATGAGTTGCTAATCATTTACATACTCAAAGGACAAACACTTGAAAGGTGTATATATCACTCAACAAAACCAACCAACTTGATCTTTTATTTGAAAGCTACATGCCTTTGAACAATTGTAGCTACTTATTCAAAAGTTAAATGTACAATTTGAATTTAAATCCATAATAAATGATAATAAGTTCTTAGTTAATCCTTGTGCAATCACGTCTGATCTCGCCATTGTTTCCGGTCAAAACCCCAACACGGCCGAGCTTGGTGATGGCGTTCACAAAGGCCTGGTTGAAAGCATTATTGCTAGACGCGAATTGGTTGACCGTCGACTTTGACCGACTATCCGTGAACAAAATTTGGTCAGAGGCAAACAAACCTTTCCCTTGTTGGAGGTTCTGGAAATATGCATTGTCGAAAGTTCGAGGGGTGGTGGGGTCCATGTTAATCGCAATCCTAGGGTCCACCTTGAGCGGGCACATCTGTCTAAGCTGAAGAGCGTATTGCCTGTTTAGGGTCGGGTCTATTCCCTTCTTCGAATAAATGCGGCCCGAAAATTTACCACAATGAGAGAATCCAAGTGTATGTGCACCTAGAGAATGATTAAATACAATTCTACAATGAATAAAATGGCAACTCTTTATAAATATGTAATGTAGGTCCACTTTTTATAAAATATTCACCTGAAAGTGCAATCATATCGGTTTGAGACAGACCATGAGCTGCAAACATGGTATTAAGTTGATCCAACTTCAAATCTGGATGTGGAAGACGGTGTTGAACACTTGATATTGTAGAAATTCTGCCATCTCTCCTTCCCAATTCTACTTTGTAGGATGGGCCACCTGCCTGTATGTGTATGTATTCACACAAACCAAAAATAGGTAATAATTTTAATTATATGTATAGTGTTTATAACACCTCAAAAGTATTTTGTTTTAATATTGTAATAAAATATTTTATAAGAACGAACGATTGTATATGTTCCATGGTAAAAATGTTAACGAGGTCTTAACAAGTTTTTTTATGACACGTTAAAAATAAAGTGTTGTATTAACTTTAAAAAAAGAGTCCTATATGACATTTATTTTTAAAAGACGCTCTTTCAAACAATGTGGTATAAAAAAGTTAATAAGACGTTTTATTTTTACAAAAAAGTGTAAACAACTTGTTAAGATCGACCTCAAGAAACGTCTTATAAACTTATTACAACATGTTTACATCGGATACTCGATTGTTTTATCATATAAATTTAAGTTTTATAAAACAGAGCATACTAAGACACTTTTTAGACGTATTTCAGGTTCGAAAAAACTGTTTTTGTTGTTAAGTATTATAAATATGGAAAGAATCATAGTGGTGAAATCTCTTAAAAAAAGATGGTGATTGATGAGTTTCATACCAAGGCAACGACATCTCTGGTGGCAAGAGCTAATATATCTGCACAAGAAACTTTATTCCGGCAACTGGGGTTGCTGTCAACGGCGGCCTTGGCTTTGATCACGGTGTCAAATCCATCTCCGGCGAGTGACAAGTTGTCAGGATGGTCCTTCTCAGCGTTTGCATTTGCCAGAAGAACCGAAGCATCACAGCCCTATATATATATATATATATATATATATGTGTGTGTGTGTGTGTATAGACACAAAAGATGTATGTATATGTATGGTTAATTAAGCTACAGATTGAAATTAAAGCAGATTAGTGGGTAAGATGGAGGAAAACAATGAAATAGACGAACCCGAACGAAGCAATCATGAAAGAAGAGGCGAAGAGTGGCCGGAATGGTGACGAAAGTCTGTTGGAATTTCTTGTTAACGGCTGATCGGACAATGGATTCGACATTGGGGCACGTGGTTTGGTAGAAATTTTGTCTGAGTTGAGCATAAGATGAAACTACAAAGAAAGAAAGCACCAACAAACATAGTATTTGCTTTTTCGTCATTTTGCTTTCTTTTTCTCTAGCTTTGTGATAACATTAATGATGATGAAAGCCTTTATATATAAATACCTACATATATTATTATATTATATCATGGTGCCTCCCACACATATACACACATTTGTACATATACAATAAACAAGTAATTCTAACACTCTCATATATACCGTAAATATTGAATTCCATCGATTAAAATTTGCAGCTATGTAAAATATAGAAGGAGTAGTTACGCAACTTTTATAAATAGGCGGCAAATGGATTCACATATGAACTATATGTTCATATCTGAACCTATGTAATTCATATATGAACTATTTTATCTGATTCAAATTGAAGCTGTGTAATTCACATATAAATTATTTAATTGATTCGCATATTAACTAATTATTCACAAATGAATTAATTAACGGGTTCACACGTGAACATATAGTTCATATATGAATCAAACGTGTTCACATATGAACCTATTTATCGTTTATTTACAAAAGTTACAAAACTATCTCTCTATCTTCTGTATACCTATACAGGAAAATTATCCGATACTTTACAGCCAAAGCCGCAAATGTTGACCAGATGAAATGTTAGGATCATTTATTTACTTCTCAAATATTTACCACTTCTAAAATGATTATTTTCCTATACATATAATATAATAAAATATTTAAGGTCTTATATTTTTAAAAAATTAAGTAAAAGTCAATATATAATGTATGAGAAAAAGATTTGAAACCTCATAAATTGAGCTTGTTTATATAAAGTCTAAATTATTTTAAATATAAATAATTTTTTAATTAAACACAAATATAGAAAAAAAAAAAGTGTTTTCTTCTTCTTAATTTGTTGTCTATATTAATATATTTTTTTCAACTTCTAAAAATTTAGATCACATATATTTCATATGTTATTACATATTCATACTATATTTTTACCGTATAACAAAATGTTGCCTTGTATTTTTAAATTTTCAAGTTTACAACTTATTATTGGATACAAACTTCCTAAAGCTCCTTCTCAACTTATTATTGGATACATACTTCCTAAAGCTCCTTCTCCGAACTCCATAAAAGTGACTGTTAACTAATTTATAAAAAATTTAAATATAAAGTAAGTGTTGAATCCTACTAATAAGCCAAAATATTGCATAAGATTTACGCTCTTAACCATAAACTGAAGTTGAGAGGAAACATAGAATAAAAGAAGCGCTAATTAGGATTCATGGCTCAAGTTCTCGGTTTTAAAAATGAGATGTAATGTGTTTAGGGGTGTTCAAAAAAACCGTCGGATCGCTTAAACCGGCCGAACCAAGTCAAACCGGACCGTTTTTGACGGTTCGAGCGGTCTGTCGGTCCGGTCTGGTCTGCTGTCTGGAACATTTTTTGGGCGGTTTGGACCAAACCGACTGCCCCATATATATATATATATATATATATATATATATATATATGGGGGTAAGATCAAATGTTAACCAAAGTTTTTGTGTTAACTTTGTTAACCGATCTTGGCCATTCAATCTTTCAATAAACGATTGTGATTAATCATGATAAAACTTATTTTTTTTTAAATTTAAAATTGCATAAAGATAAGTGAACAATGTTGAAAAGGGTATTTAGGTAAAAAAAATTATGTAACTCCCATATCATTAATTAATTGGGAGTTACAAAATCAAAATTYTATGATTTTTTTGTTAATTTATTTTTGTTAATATAAGAACCATATGAACACAACTATATATATATGAACCATTGTGTCAAATACGAACAAAAATTTGACATATATATGAACTTGGACTGCATAGCATTTATAAACACAATATGAACATAATAAGAATAATTGTTATACGAAAGAAAATAAATAAATAAACATGTATGAACACGATATGAACAGTTTGTGAACAATAGTTTATTCATTATAAACACATTCAGGAGCGATTCTTTGTCAATTGGAGTTTTATACATGCATTACATCCACACTGTTTAAGGTTCACCCCTTGTTCATATATGTTTCTGATCTTATATGGTTGTTCACCTCTTGTTCATATCGTGTTCACCTCTTGTTCATATCGTATAAAATATATGAACACATAACTCCTGTAACGCCCCAACCCACATATTGCATGTAATACATATTTCATACAAAGGAAATACATATTATTATCTCATTCAGGTCCCTTAGTACAATAATCTAACATGACCAATTACAAGGTCCAAAATTTTGAAATACATTTCTTGTACTAATTAGTCAAAACAGATCTTCAAGCAGAAGCGTATAAAGGAAAATATTACACCTTCCCCTTCCCCTTACTGTCTGAACCTCCTTCAACACATAGTTTAAAATCACAAAATGAGGGTTAGACCAAAAGGTCCAATGAGATACCCTATTCATGTTATTGCAGGGTGAAAAATCACCAAAACCTTTAGGGAAAAATATCATTTCATATATATAAAAAATATATGAAATAAATAGAAATGTAATACCAGATCTCTTCCATTTATCAAGCAAAGCATTCTGCTTATTCAAATCTCACAACTCAGAACCAATCAGGTTCCACATAATGCCACTTTTAAACCTTTTCTTAATCAACAAGGTTATTTCAAAGCTTCAGGCCAAACCTGACATTTTCTCCTCAATAACATTCAAACTATGATTTCCAATAAGAACCTTGATCCTAAGTCTTTAAATCACAAAGAAATAAAGATTCCAGACCACGGTAATCTTAAAGGATATAATAGAAAGAGTTATATAATACCACACACATACAAATGTCACCCTTAGATCAAATGTACACATCTCCTTGATATGTCACCCTTATCCCATGGTACACCTCTCCTTGATATGCCACCCTTATATCAAATTTACATCTCTCCTTGATATGTCACCCTTATTTCTTCATCAAAACATTTTATAAAAATAATTCCAAATAGACCGCAGCCATTGGAACTATTATTTGTCCAAAAATCATTGATATCAAAACACAAGGTACATCTTGAATCCGGTCAACCAAAACTTAACCGGATTTCATCTCCGGTCAATAATCCGGTCAACACATCGAACAAGCATTGTCCGATTTAAATACTTAGAAAATAATTTCCAACCTTGTCCGTATATCAAGTCTGGACAATATACCGCATAAGCTTTGGTCGGTTTAACACTTAGAAGCAAAATCATCTTTGTCCGGATATCAAGTCCGGACAACAATCCGCTCAAGACTTGAGCGATTTAAGACTTAGAATAATCTCAACAACTTGTCCGGATACAAGTCCAAACAACACTTTACACAACCTTTGACCGGTTTAACAATATCCGGACAGTACACCGCTCAAGGCTTGTCCGGTTTAAGAACAATCCGGGCAAGCTTTGTCCGGTTTAACACTTATCCGGTCACTATTTGTCCGGATAAAACTTCAAACATAAGGTATGGTTTCAATCCAAATAATAAACAACATTCAACTAAAAACCAGTATAAATATTATGCAAAAGTTTAGAAACCACTCACCTCAATAAGCTTTTGAAAACAAAACGCTTGAATATCAACTTGAATCACCAAACACTTGAAATCTTCCTTTTTGCAATTCGGTCAACACTCTCTTTAAATCACTAAATTTTCTCAAAATAGCAGGAATAACAAATGAAGAGGCTAAGCCCCTTTTTATACCTTCCAAATATGGAAAGTTGGCTAAACAGCCTCCTTCCCTTTCCACCTCATGCTTTAACCCACCCATACACACATGCACACACATACATACATACTTACTCCATGCATAACTTAACATGCATGCACATATATATATATATATATATATATACATATATATATCCAATTAATGCACAAATTCACATACCAGCATGTATCAAACTATCATGCTATCACGTAATCATTTAATCAAATAATCACATATTTATTATCTTGGGTAATAACCAGGATCCGGTTATTACATCCCCAACGCTATGAACACCGGATACAAACACTTACACAAATATAAAGATTTGGTATCAAGCTTAAAAAATAACATTTGTGTTCATATAATAGAAGTAACATGAACACAATGGTTCATGATTCATAAAAGTCGGTAATATGACAATATAAAAATGGGTCGTACATGTGCTTCCATTTGAACATGTGAATTAGGTACGTATTTAATAATTAAAGAAAAAAGATATCAATACAAGATGAGTTATAAAAAAAAACACAACACATCGTAATGAACATAATTTCGATTAAAACAAATCTAAAAAAATAAAAATCTAATACCAAGACATTCGCTTTGGTTAATTTCTTCAATTCCCGACCTTGAACTCCGATTGTCATCATAAACCATTTTAATCTTCTCACTGTTGTCGATTTATTTTCCATTGCGTTTATCTACATTAGCTTGATCGATACCGAAAATTTTTACTACCGTTTTTTCTATGCGAATTAAAAATTGATAAAACAATAAACATGGAAGATTAAGATTAAAAAAAATTATTAATATTATAAATGCATATTTTTTGGGA